GGCCGGGGGCCGGGGGGCGGCCGGGCGGGGGCCGACCTTCTCACCCTAGGCGCGCCCCGCGCTCCAGCTCACCGCCTGCTGCACTTTTCTCTCCCCTCTCCACTCCTTTCCCTTTGCTCCTTCGTCTCTGTCCAACTCTCTCGCTCTACTCTTTCTGCCCCCTTCCCACCCTCCTTTTTGTCCCTCGGCCGGCTCTTCCCTCTCCTCTTCGCCTCTCCTCCCACTGCCTCTCCCCCCACCTCCCCCAACCCCGCAGACTCTTCGGCTGCCCCAAAGAAGCGAAGAGCAACCCAAGGACTGAAAGAGGGGAGTCGCGTGTGATTCTTTGTTGTTGTTATTAGTAAACACGATCGCAACCCTCCTGAGTTTGGAGGGGATGGGGCAACGCAGGAGTCCCCGATCTCGTGGTCTGATGACCTCGCCGCCCCCCTCCCCAGTCCACCTTACCTCCCCCACGCCCCCGAGAGCTGGACCTCGGGCCGCTTAGCGAAGGAAAGGAACTAACTTTTGAGCGTGCCCTGGATGGAGGGAGGGAGGGGCCGCGAAGTGGTGGGACCCCCGCAGGTGGCCTCTGCTGCCCTCCCGCTAGGGCGCTTTGGACCACTCAACGGAGGTGCCCGCCCTTCCCTGGTTAGAGCAAGTGGCTTCTCATCTTTCATTTTTTTGGGGGGGGAGGGGTAAGTTTTGCATCTCGGGGAGAACAGGGTTGGGGACCTCCACACCACGCCCTAGGTCACCCCACCTCCTCCATCTTCCCCTTCGCCAACTTCGAGGACCAAGCGTTTCAGGTGGCCGAAAGTGCATCTCAAAAGGGCAGCTGGCGCAGTTCGGAGCGCCGAGTCCGTGCGGGAGCCGCAATCCTTGGGCCGAGGCAGCTCCGACTCCCTGTTCTCTCTCCTTCCTGAAGCCCCCCAGGGCCAAGCTTTGGAGGAAACATCACCCCGAGGGCGATATTCAGAGAAAGAGCTGTGCGCTGCCCGTGCCTTTTGAATGTGGTTTTTCTTTTTCCTCTCCCCCTGCTCCTCCCTCTCTCCCCCCACCCCCCTTTTCTTTCAAATCGTAGTTTGTTTATGATTGCTTGGATAACAGAGGAGGAAATGAGGAGCCTGCTGAAAGAAAGGTGCTATACAAAACTAATGAATACATAGCAGGACGGGGAGGAATTGTATCTAGAGTGAGGAGCAGTTTGCCGTTCCCCGTGGCTGATGGAGGCTCTCGTTCCTTTCTATTTGTTGATACTGCGATCCCAACTCCAGTGCTGAAGTTTGTGAAAGGCCATTAGGGTCTCTCTTCCTCAGTCCTGTCCCCTGTGTCATCATCGCCCAGCTCTGCGCCTGGCACGGAGGGGCCTCCCAACGAGTATAGAGCAAAGGGACGTTATTCGTGTCTTTTAACCCTTTGGTGGTGCGGGCGTTCATGCTCTCAAAATTCCTAGAGCGTTATGTTAAGCATAGAAAAAGAAGCAAGAAAAGGCCTGTTCCTGTAGCCAGAGTTAAGATTTAGTTTCTGTCCTCAGATTTTGGATTTACTCAGGTTATTAAACGCTTTAAAAAGTCCCCCATGTATGCTCAGTTAGGGACTTAGGCAGCCTAATTAAGTATGTAGTGTTTCTGAGAATCCACCTAATTGTTCCAGTGGGGTATTATTTATCTCCTTACAACTTAGCCTTGTGTATGAAGCCTTGTATAACTGGACATGACTTATTTTTGGAAGCCATTACCTTGCCTAATGTAACTACTTTCTCTGATTTAAAATCAGCAACACTCGAATGACACCAAAATAGAAACCTTTTGTACTAATCCAGTCACTGCAATGCGTGGCAAATCTCTCTGTTCACTAGGGTCCCAAGGGTACTTCAAGGGACGAGAGGAAATTGTGGGTGTTTTGTGTGTGTCTCTTTTTATTTTTTGAAAAAGGCTATTTCGAGTCAATTTAAACTCAGAACATTTATTTCAGGGAAGGCCTAGAAAGCTTGAAAACACATTATTTATTGAGATGCTTGTTCAACTTCAGGAGTGAGGATGCAAGTTGGCTTGCTGTCATGTTTTCTTAAAGCAGCTATTTGCCTGAAATAACTTGATTTCTTAGCAAATCAGCAATCTTTCATCTTCAGTGCTTTGTGTACCCAACTTATAAAAAGTTAGTGTGTGTAATATTGGTAGAAGTCAGATTGTACTTATTTTTAGGAGTGTTTGCATTTAATTCCTTGCAGATAAAAATAAATAATCTTTAAATTGATCCATGATACTGTATTTTCCTACTTTTAATTCAGAAGTGAAAAACCCAACTTTATTCCCTGTAATTTTCCTTTATGGGCAGAACATAGTAGAAGAGGAAGTATTAACTTCATGGGGATAAAACAGCAAGTGCTAATTAAAGGTTTATAGCATTTTGTCTCATAGCTAACTTGTGGTTCGGAAGTGGTATTATTCAACATAGATTTATATTGAAAATGTAAAAAACTAACACACAAAGACATGCGTTTATTTTATTTGAAAAATACCTGTGATTATTAATCTCTTAAGACAACTTTTGATCATGTGTATTATCTTTCTGGATGGGAAACGATGGATTTCAAAGGAAAGTATGTTTCTGCCCTTTATGTTTTAACGACCATCTGGGAGACTTTAGAAGAAATATAGAACCCTCTGCTCTAGGCTTAACAAGTGAAAAGTTCGTGCTTATCTTTAAATTTATTTACAAACCGTGAATAATAGGGTTTCATTCATTTCTCTCTTTAGCAAATGACCAGAGTCCTTTGTATTAGTTATATGCATGTGTATTATCTTTACATTCTGTGAGTATATGCATCCTTTTTAAATGTCAGCGCTCATGAAAGTGTGCTCCGTCTATGGAGAATGGATGAAAGAGTTTTGAGGGTTCAAAAGTCGTTGCAAGGAGGAGAATAACTTCAAATAAAATATAGCCAGGATCATTAAAATCAGTTAATAATTCATGAGCCAGCTACTGATGTATAAACTTAAAGTCATCTCTATTTTCCAAGGGCTAATTTCCATTTTAATTTCAAGTGGAAAATCTACTGTTTGAACATTTCTTTTTCTGATGCGGTTAACAAATTAAACAAACATATATATATATATTTTTTAAAGGCCTTATGTTACTCAAGTGAATTAGTGACCCATTGTCTATATAACTGGAAATTTTCTTTCCCTGGGTTCAATTTGTCTTCACCAGTAATAAGGTAATACCTAACACATCAATTGGCATGTAGTGGTCAGAAGTCTGCACCCCACCCACCCAAATAAACTATTGTATTTAACGTGGGTGTAAGCAAGGTCAAATCACACATTGGGTTAATAATGAACTTGGACTAAACTCATGTTACTAGCTTTTTTCTGCACATTCTTGGGGCTTCCATTCTCCCTTTTAAAATATGGCTTTTGACTTCTTACTCCATGTAGAATAGTCCCATGCTGTTGTGACCCCATCAGTCCCAGACCTTGCTTTCTAGTTATTAATATGTTATCGATCACTCTGCTTAATTAAGACATTGTAATATGAGTGCTTTCACCCCGCCTCATGGGCCTCTACCTTGGCTAGCTTGAAGAGTAAGGGGACCAGAGGGGAATTGGTCATTGGTCCATCTTATTGGAGACCCTGGCTCAAATTGAGAACATATTGAGAGGGGAGGGGGATTGGATTGAAATGCGTCTTAAGTTGATACCTTACACTCACATGAGAACTAATAATTTTATTTCCAGGGTCAGGAGTATGAGGGTGTTGAATTTTGAGAGCAGATTGAGAGATTTCCATAACAGGTCTTTAACCAAGGTATGGAAGCCACATTGTGAAAGAATACAGGGTTTTTTTGAGCAGGAGTCATAAACTCAAAATGTCTATAGGGACAGCCAGTTAACTAACCTACATGAAGTGAGGGCTTGTGGTCAAGAGGAGAACTTGCCCCCATTTAAAGGGGGAGCCTTC